TTATAAAGTCGTACACTCAGCAATTTAGGCAACATGTTCATATTTTATCTCAAATATCATTTTTTTAGACAAAACTCAAGTTTTCTGAGGGAGAAGTGGGAGCTTTTAAGTATGCCATGATACAGTAATTCTCATATTTTTTGATAATGAAATTCCATGAACCAACTAAAAGTTTTGAGTTCATATATTTTTTTAAGGCTTAGACAAAAAGAATAATTTAGATTCCTATTCAATACTTATCGAATAAGCAATTTTTTTTGGAACTCATATAGATTTTCGAACAAAATGATGACTCTAACTTTTAAGTCGAAGTTTTGTGGCTCTTCATTATAGACTTTAGCAATTATGATCAAAGGCTATTGAATACGTTTCCATAGCAACCACGGGTATAAATCAATCATTTCAATGTTGCTCTCGTTTGTAGTTTTGCAGGCAAAAATAAGCGGTTTTACGATCAAAGAGAGGAACTAACAAAGAAAAGAATGTAGAATTAAAGTACTAATATGCACACCAGTAATAGTGAGGCAATGGTTTTTCTTATTGCATTTAGTGCTTCAGTATCTATTTGTAACTGTTTCAATTCGTGAGAATATCATTATAACCATTTATATTCACTGTTGTCTTTTTTTTTCTTCTTCATCATATTAGAAAAACAATAGTGTTGCTATTTGATGGAAAAGAAAAGCAATTTTTTATCATAGATTAATCAACGTTGTGTTTAGTTTTATACATCAAAGAACCCATAACAATATCATCATATCAAAAATGATATAAGCAAAGATTTTTTGATTGTTTATTAGTGATGCTGATCAATATTAATAAGCAAATAAATCTTTCATTATGTAAAACATTCATTCTTTTACTTCATTGGTTCCAAACTTTAAAGTATATTTCATTACATAAAAAAAATGACTTAAGAAATCTATAACAGTGTTCATTGTAATTTGCAATTGTTTATTATAAATGATTACAAAGAGAAGGATATCTTTTGTTCCTTACATCGTTTTGACAAGCAACTTGAAATGTAGCTATCCATTCAAAAAGTAGTATAAAGTTCGTTAGGCTTATGATTAATATTCACAAATGTTAGCTTGTACTTAATTTGCAAAGAAATGAATTACATACTTTCGCTCCTTGTCGGTGAGTCTATCAATTTTATTCATCGTTCTACAATGCATTTTCTCCACCAAACAAAAAGTTCAATTATATAAACAATTTGTAGAAAATTTATTCGTGTTTCATGTTTTTAAAAACAAGCTTTAAATCACATCGAAAAAATTAGTAATACATTAGTTACGGTGAAGAGTAATTCAACTTTCAAAAATATGTAGCAAAACAAAAACTACTAGTAATCATATGCGAAATTTAGATGCATGAGGATTATGACACAAATTTAGAAAGAAGAATGGTGGTTAATTCATGAAATTGAACTCTTCTAGAAATTGAATATCTTATTTTCCCAATAGTCAATGTAGGTGTCAACAGTCGATTGTTTTTCAAATTAGACATTCAGATCTCATTCAAGCTGCGTGTGACTCACTCAAGACTTCATATTATCTATTCCTTCTAGACTTATGTGATACAGTGTTCAAGTACAAAGCATCTCTTTCTGTCTTCCGTTCTTTTAAGTTGAGTTATATATATTAGATGAAAAGTTTTCTTTTCCGCCAACAAATCGCACATCAAAGTAAGATAAAATATTGCCTTATCCTTCTCAGAATCCTCAAGAATCAATAAAATTTCATTTAAATGGTTATTTTTCGAAATTATAATACAAAAAGTATCATGTTTTTTAATTATTTCACAGACATCAAAATCATGTCCTTAGTTTCACTTTTTGTTGCATCATTCTCATTTCCTTATTCTGATTACTTTGCATAATGAAAATTATTGCATTACGTAGTTTCATTATTTTTGTATCATTTCAATGCATGATTTTCATTATTTCGAAAAAACTAAAATCATCATATTGCTCGGATAACTTCGATGTCATTTGAATCTTATCCTGAAATTTTTCTTTAGCGATTGCTCCCACTTGTAGTGCTGGCGCATTCCTGATGAGTGTAGATGCGGTGGACTCATGATTCATTGGATCTAAGAGAAGACTCATATCTCCCATTCATACTCAAATCGCATTTTAATTTGTATACGCTGCAAACCTAGTGAACAAATGATAGAAGGAATCCAGGTGAAAAATAAGCGAAAGAAAACGCAGAAGTAGCTAAATCAATGGAAGAACAAAGATAAAGCATGAATAGTGAGCATAACTATATGTAGGACGAAAAAAAAGAACAAAAATTCGTAAACAGGTTAAACCCACGAATGCACGTAATAACTATAGCCCGACCTGCGAAACTCGCAATTCATGGAAATGCCTATTCTGTGAGCTCACTAATCGTCAGAAGTCCAACTCGCGCACGGACTATGAGTCGTATCGGTTGAATCGAAACTCTTCAGTCAATTAACATCTCTGATACATATGCATTTCGACATTTGTATTATCGTCGTTAGAGATCTATCTGACTATGATTTCTCGATCATAATAATGAAGACTTTATAGATTCGATTAATGCCACATTAATTAAGTTGTTGAAAGCCCTTTCTTAGGCATTAATGTTTTCGAAGTTGGTTCCAGTGCATCAATAGACCGGAAAAGTTCTGGCAATAACTGTGAAAATTTCACAAAAACTCTCTACTTCCGTCATAGCGTTGTTTTTGTTCATAGTCACAGTACACTGTAAGTTTTAAATAAATTCAGTTTTGCAGGCAATCGATTTCGCATAGCGTCTAACATTTTCAAACGTTCATTCATCTTGAACCGAATTTTCAATTTTCAGAAAATCATATGAATAATGACCTCTATAAGGTCATTGTTCAGTCTTGTATTCATTACTTTCTCCGACATCTCTAGTGAGTAGATGACCTATGATTTTTTTTAGAGGTCGCATGAGCCAATGCATTTCGTATGGACGGACACATAGTGTTCATTTATTTCTTACTTATGAAAAAATTATTTGCAATAAAAGTTTCTTTGACTATAGAATTGATATTTTGTAATCATTTATGTTCGTCGAATTCTACACGAGCTCTTATTGAATACTATTGTGTTTAATCTTAAGCAGTGGATTTCAAGTTGTTTTTTCTGAACGAATTGCTTTTAAATGCTGTGACTGTGATTTTTTTTCCTTAGAATTTTTTTCCTATCTCAATTGACTTGTGAGAGGATATTTTCCAGCAGGTATACATGTTATTTATATTCATATTCTCATATTTTTCTTGTTAATAATATTTTTTGTTTTAGAGGGAAATCACTTATTTTGATCGATAAACAGTTTAAAGTTCTAGGTCAATTAGCCAGTGATATTAACTAGATGTTTCTCTAGAAAATAAGAAGCTTTGACAGATTTTCTATGAATTTTCATATGAATTCGTTGGCAGTATCTCTGACTAGAGAACCGAAACTTGAGTTTCTATAATATATTTTTCGAAAATCACATTTACAAGAAAGAAAAAAGTCGTTTAAAAATTCTTATGGACATTTCTAGAATGAGCTTTTGCATACTCTTTAGTGTATTTTCAAGATTACAATGTAATGAGAAACCTCGTCAGAGTCACGCATGATCACTTCACTGATCTCTAATTTTTATGTTTTCTACGAAAATTGACTTTTCTTTTTCCTGGAGAGGAGGACTCAATAATGGTTTTTTGCATTGTTTATTAATAGTCGATTGATGACCGGAATCTAAGTCAGTTTGCTTTCACTGAATGATTCATACTGTTTATGCATTTTTTTTTTATTCTGACATCTTGCTTGATATTAATATCTAAGTCTTATAATATATCTTATGACATTGTTATCAAATGTATACGTGCAAAAAGAGTTTGCATTTTTTTTTCTTTCAGCATACATAAATTATTGTGATGAAATAAAATATTCATGTGTATAATATTCGATATTAAACAAGAAAACAAAAGTGAGCATACTTAGAGTTCGTCCGGCTGAAGATTATCGAACCCGAACTTGAAGCATACTCTTCATATTCTTCATGAAACTCTTTTATTCGAATCTGTTCTGTTATTGACTAAAAAAATACGATAAGCTCTTTGTTTGATTATTTTTCTTCTGTTAATAGAACATTCTAGACATTGACGATGGTTTTATAATAAGCAGGTTATAGTTGACTTTAATTACTGCGATAGAACTCATTAAGTTGCTTCCACACTCGATTGATAAAGTTCACAGATGGGCATCTAAGTTTGCTCTCAATCTGACGAACTCTAATCGTTTTTGTTTTGCCATTAGACAAAATAAATGCGAAAACCTCGGATTTAAATCCGAGTGTTATGTGTACTTCAAAAAGTGAAAAGGCATATTCACTGTGTTTTTTATCACTAAATTGCAAGGAGAAAATACAGGCGTGCTANATTTGTTTCATTGAATCTGACATAACAAAATATTTCTGGTCGATAGATAAATCTTATAGTCATTAGAAACTCATCAAAGTATTAGCTAGGAGAAACATATCCTTATCGAGATATCAGCTAGTAAGGAAACTGCCCTTCTGTTGAAACATAATATAAACAGGCACTTCTTTTAAATGTAAATATTTAGATAAAGGTGTCTTCATTCTAGCTTAAACTGTGAAGAATTTCTAGCAATTATAATACCTATCTATGAACAAAAGTTCAGTTCAAAATTCAATCATACTAATTCTCAACAACTCTATGCTGATAGAGTAAAAATCGAATAAAACACTCGCAACGCGGCAATCAAAGACCAGAAAGTCAAATTAAAACAGATTCTTTCACTATTTATCGGGATTATCTTATCAATCCTATCAATCAAAATATAATTCAAGAGACATGATCCATAAAACTGCTAATCGTTGACTAAATCATCTCTAATTGTTTCGAACATTTGCTGAAAGTCGAGACTGCAACGGAATTTATTAGCATTTTAAAACAACATTAAGATTATATTCAAAATCATCTCGATGATTTTATATATAACATGAAACTTCTTTTGAATAATGTATGAATTTCTTTTTGTCAGAAAAAAGTTCGGTTCTTTTTTATTTTTACTTGTAACAACACAATAAGTTTTTGCTAGTGCATTTTGAACACAAGTTCCATCATTTTCATAAACAAGTTTTTCAAGTTCAGCTTTTGTATATTTTGTATTTCCTTCCATAATACAAAATCCCAATGATGAAAAATAATGTCTAGTTTGTTTAACAGATTGTTGATCAATACCACGAAAACGTGAATCAACTGTTGGTTTAGCTTGTTGTCGAGATTTTACTTGTAATTTTTTTGTTAACGTTATTGTACGTTGTCCATCATCATTTAAATCAAAATCATCATTTAATTCATGTTCCATAAAACGTGATGCTAATTTACCAGCATTTCTTTCACGTAAATCAATTAATTCCTGATATGTAACACATTCATACCAAGCTTTATCTTCACGAAATTTTTCTAAACGTGGAAAACGTAATGTAAAACCACATTTATATTTATCTGATGCCATGAATTCAGTTGCTTTAACTTGTACAATGCATGAATCACTTGGTTCAATGCATACATCAGGTTTTTCATGTGTACATAATATATATGATGGTGCAGTTTTTTTTGTCCATGGTTTCCATTTATTTGCAAAACGATTATTAAAATCAAGTAATTCTTTATGTGTATAACCGGAACCAATTTTACAAAATGTATAATAAAGATAATCATGTACATCAGGTTTACATTGTGTTGATGTTGTAGCATTTTCATCATCAGGATTTTTTTGTTCAGAATTATTTGTTGTATTTGCTTGTTTAACAACAGCACAACAAAGAAAATGAGAAAGCATACCAGCACGTAAACGACCTGTACCAAAATAACCACCAACTATCAAACAATCAATTTCATCATTAAGACCTAGTGAGAGAAAAAAATTAGTATTTTATGAAATTCATATTCACAAAAAGTTACCGATTGTATAATCTGGTTTAATCTAAAAATAGATTAAAAACAAGGTCACAATTAGTTTGATTAGAAAGATATTTATATTAATACGAAAACTGATTTCTGAAAGGAGCTGCTCGAGAAATTGTTTAAAATGATATTATTTACGATATGCCAAGAGTATTGCCCGTAGCTTTATAAAAATCAGGTAAAAAGCACGAGGAAAATTTTTCTTTCCACATATTGATAATATAAAAGGTGCTCTATATTTTCTTCAATTAATGGCATAATAATAATAGAACTCTGACAAAAGCGATTCAACTCTATTTTAGAGAGATAAAGAAAGCCCTCACTTTCACATTAAAATCCACACTCAACTTCACACTCAAATAAAAGTTATTCATAATGAAATATATTATACTTCGCGACATCAGACGTCATCTTTTAGAACAGTTAAACAACAGTCTCAGTCGTTTCGTAATGATCAAGAAGAGTTTATAGACAAAACATGAGTCAGCAGACCTCTTATAACCACAACATCATCTGAAAATATTGAACAAGTCAATTTTCTTATTAATGGTAATCCTTATAGTAGCGTAATCTAATAGCATCTAGAGAAGAATAAAATATAGAACATGGTTTATCCTATCAGCACATATAAAGGCAATTTTTTGTAGTATGTTCTTCACAGTATTATAGTGTCACTGCTAGTGCGAGAGTCCAAAAATTTTGAACTCGATGGATTGTAGCCACCACTACTACTATTGATATACTCAAAGTAATGCTAATATCATTAACGATTGTTTTCCAACCACTATTCATGCCAAATGAAATATTCTAAAGTCTTCCAAAGATTTTTTTTTGTTGTTACTGTAGTTCTTCTCTTTTTTACTCCATTGGACGAAAAGCTTATAAACTCGTTCTTTTTTAGTTTATTATCAAAAAAAAGAGGATAAATACCTTATACCATCCACCATTTTCTCGAACATTTGGTTTATAAACTGACCATGGATCTTTAACAACAATACCTTCTTGTCGTTCTTCAATAGCTAAATTTAATTCATTAATAACATCTTGATTACTTGTACCCGGTTTAATAACTGAAAAAATAATTCGTCCTTCAATAGGTTCAAGAATTTTTTTTTGTAAATATTGTAAACGTTCATTCATTGGTTTATTTGTTAAAATTTCATCATTATACATTAATATATCAAATACAATTAAACATGGTTGTAATTGAGAATCATTTGCTTGAATTGATTTAACATCAAAACTATCACCTTTGGAATGTATAATTTTTTCATTACGATTATAAATAACCATTTCACCATCTAAATATTGCAAATAAATCGAATCTTTTTCATTTAAAAAGAAAACAAATTCATCACTTACCAATAATACATTTTTCACAATCAATTTTAAATGTATTTGCAATATAAGGTGTTAATGTTCCAATATTATTAGCATCAGGACCAAATACACTTGTATAATCATGACCATTACGTGAAAAATACATAAATTGATCTTTATCACGATGTACTTGAAAACGATCACCATCATATTTTGTTTCAATATAAAATTCAGCTAAAGCTGCAGTTGGATTAGTAGATTTTTTACGAATTAATTGTTCAATTTTATCAGCTCGTGTTCGTTCACCTGAAAGAATAAATTTAAATAAAAATTTCATAGAAATCTTATTTTATTTACCAAGCATAGGTCGAAATGGTGAAAATAAACTAAGACCAATTTCATGTAGTCGTTTTTCTGGATCATGTAAATAAACCGCTACTTTAAATAAATTACTTGTATGATCAAATAAATCTTTTGCATCAGGATGAAAACATTCAAGAATAGAATTTTCTTTTAATGATACACGTAAATCTTTTAATAATATGCGAATGAGCCATTTTAATTCAAGTGCACTTAGATGACGAAGTAAATAGGTAAGACGATGATCGATTACCTAAAATGAATAAATATCAGAAATAGTTTAGTTATGATTAAGAAATTCAATGTATGAAATTGTAGAACAAAGAGTTTTTTATGGAATAAGAAATCGATAAGGTTCGTTTGAGCTAAGTGTTCAGTGTTTATTGCAATGCGAAAGATAACGCTTATAGAGACTAAGCTATTCATAGATCTAAACATTATATGATCAATATATTGTTGATCTCTTTTGTTGTGATGCAGAGTACTTAACGCAAACTTAAGTAATGATTTAGATAGTCAATAAAGCTCTCTATCAGATGTACTGTATGTCAAGATTTCATAGTTAGAAGGTGTGAGAAAAATTTCTAAAAAACCGAACACAGTAGTTTTCAGGCTCGGAAGACATCTTAGAGGTTCACGCTTAACAGTAACATCTGAAAGAGCACAAACTTAGATGAGGGGTTACCGTATTTTTCATGACTTTTTCTCGCACAGTTGTAAGAATAAAAAATTACTAAAAATGTATTTTTGTTTGTTTGTGATGCTTGTAAGTTTCTGAAGGAAGGTCATGAAAAGGACAGCGAACCTTCATTGTGTTCAGAAGAGCTCTATTAACTATCTAAATCAACATTTGCATTTGAATTAGGTATTCGGCACCACAGGAACAGTCAAAAATGCATTATTCTTGAAATTTTGAGCATTACTAAGAGTATTATAGAAATCTGGATTGGGTTAAACTAGTAAACTCGACAGATCCACCATTAGCCGCAACAACTACGGCGAACTCTTCTTTTGTTTAGTTCAATTGTTGTGTGGATCACGTACACTAAATCGATAGTACCGAGGAGCCATTCAAACTATACTGCATAGTAGAGACTTATCAAGTTCACTTATCCAGCCAGATACAATACTCTATTTCATCACTTCTTTTCAATCGTTAAGAAAAGTTTCATAACAGACCAAAGAACTCTTTGTCGAATTAAACAACAAATGTAGCAAGATCCCAAATTTCAAGTTCGACTTTGAAGAATTCTCATCGATATATTAGAGCTCATTATGAGTACAATTGAAATATTCGTATCTATCACATAAATTGTTCAATCCGACTAACGAGAGAACCATTTCGGGTAGTACCCTACCTTTTAAATGAGGCTTGCTCTCATTAAGTATGGTCTGTTGAGACAAGAAATAGGCTAGAGGAATTCCTTCCCATACGCGATCCTTCTGGAGTTATAATCGATCCACTGGGTTCTTTACTTATAAAAATATCGAACAAACGAGTTGTGATCTGAAGTTTTGTCAATAAACAGCTCTTAACCCCATTAGAATATTTTAAAAATTTAAGTCAAAAAAGAAAGATTTTTTGTCTTAAAATAGATTTATTAATTACGATCTATTAAAAAAAACAATATACCTTTTGACCTTCTTTTCCTTTTCCATTTTCTACAGCAATTTCATCCAAAATTTTATTTATTTCCCAAATACTCATTGTAACATCTTCATTGCAACGATTTTTAAGCACATAATAAGCTACTTCAGCAAAATCACTTCCTTTTTGTGTACGTGTATTTTTTTGTACACGAAAATTAAGTCTAAATATAAAAAAAAAGAATTATATCAAAACGTAAGAAAATGTCTATTTTTACTTACAGCTTTTTTCCATCATCACTATCTTTTGAAATACTAAGTACTTCAACAAGATGTTTACCAAGTTTACTTTCTTTTAAACCATAAGCAATACGTTCACGATCTGATTGTGGTAAAAGAAGACGTAATATTGGATAAAATGAATCTTGCATAATTATTGGTGATGTTCCACTAAGACTACTGCTTGTTGTAGTTTGTCCCTCAGCAGTTGTCGTTGCAGCTGTTGTTGTTGTTGTTGCTGCTATCGTTGATGTTGGTAAATCATTTGCATGAACCTCTTTATGTGTCTTACGCCAATCACTTATAAATCTTATCATTAGTTTTTGTTTTGCAATAGCACCTTGACTTTTTGATATTCTTTCAAGTAAATTACATAAATTAGAAAATTTTACAACTTTAGATGAATTTGGTAATTCATCATTAACACTCGGATCATCGATCATCGTTGATGTTATCTAAAAGATAGATATATTCATCCATTGTCTGCTTATTATTGCTGCCAATTATATATATGCACAAAACAAAAACAACAACAAAAAAAGACAACACGTAAAATGATATTAAATTCACTGCTGATAAGTAGATAATAAGACTAGGAAAAACAGAGATTCAAATATATACAAAATATTTTCTTTTTAAAGAGAAGACTACACCGGCGTCTCGCGTATAAATCGAATAAATGTATGTTTTATATTAGCATGAAATATATGATGTGCGAGTACTGTTCGATGATCATCATTATTAGTTATTACGGATGTTGTTGGCAATAATGGTAATTTTTTTGCAAGTAAATCTTCATGATTTGTTGATATTGTTTGAATTTCTTGGGATTTATTATTTATTATATCCGATGTATGTAATCCAGTTGTTGTATCTGAAGCAAGTGTTAGATTTTTAAATCGTTGATTGTGATCATTGACGCCTTTGAAAAATAAAAAATTAAAGAAAATACATTAACTCATTTAATCAATTAAATAAGCAAAAAAATAAAAATAATAACAAATCAATATGTAGTAAATAAGCAAATATACACACAAAAAAAAACAAAGAAAAAAATGAAAAAATATAAGTGATAGTATGACTACAACTATGGAAATATAAAAAAGACAAAGGAAATTTGTGATAGTAAAATTGTATATCTATGTGGAAAACAGAACATAGGATTTTTTTTTTTTTGTATTTACCCTCGCAAGGCGATTAGTAAGAGCATTCATTATCATGACATATCTTCTAGAATAAGAGAAAGATTGAGAACATAGCCCTAGCGAACAATCATATAGTTATTAAAGCATAAAGCATAGCAACAAAAGCAAAATTAATAATAAATATATCAACGATTCATCCCACAGCATAAACATCCTGTAATATTAAACATACACCTTTTTTTTGTAAATAGATAGATTCAATATTGAAATCTAATGACATAAAGACCAAAGCTGAAATCAAAATCAATCGGTCACTGTTAAGAGCAAGCATAAGAAGTAAAAGATTTATCAGCCAATTTGATAATAAAATCGCTTATTTTTTGTTTATTTTTCTATACTTACACAATCGAGTCTTCATCTTAGTTTTTCTTTTTCCTTAAAGAGTAATACAACGAGAAAAATAATTGACATTGTACGCCGTTTGTATTCAGTAGAAATTTATCAATTTTTATCAGATGAATGTCTCATAGATATAATCTATTATGCCATCGATAATTAATAAAACTAAATGATATCATGAAAATAATTTTTTTTTAAACTTTTTTTGATCATTTGCATACCAATCATCAGGTTTAATAAATAGTGCATATATCATATCTCATTGTTTTATTTCAAACAAAAAAACATTTAATTATTCTTCATTAAAGCTTGTAAAGCCAATGTATTATAATCGTATAAAAATCTCATGATCATAATTATAATTGAATGATAATAAAATTTCAAATTGAAAAATAAAATTTTCTATTCTGATGATTTAATTTCCTTTTTTTTTTCTTTCTTTCTTTCTTAACTCATAACAGTGACAGATGATTTTGTATTAGGAAATAAATTAAGTGGTAAAATATTCACACATACACATGGACACACGCACACAAAAAACATCTTAGCAATAGCAACCAAATGTTTGCAATTAGGAAGAAAAAAAAACAAGGGGTAAGAAAACACACTAATTAAAAATAATAAGGATAAAAACCAACCTTGTACCAAACGTATCGTTAAGGATAGATAAACGGGCTAGAGAAATAGATTTCAACATTGGAAAAACACTAGAAAACAAGAAATCTATATATCTAACCTTATGATCGCCTACGCATGCATCATATCCTATTATATCATATGTTGGTTGTTTGGCCTGTAAATATGATTTAGAATTTATGAATAGAATTATTTAATAAATTTAACCTGAGTGTCAACATAATTTTTAAATGAATGACTAAGCAGAATACGATCACACCATGCTGGACAACGAGCACGTAAATAAGAACGAGCTTCGTGTTGTTCTTCACTGTATGGATAACTAAAATAAAACAGATTTTGTAAGAAATAAGAAAATATTTAATACTAACCTCGGCGGAAAAGTTCTTTCATATTCAAATATATGATCATGAAAGGATGAAGATTCAAAATCGAACATACGAGCCTAAAAATAAATAAATAATAAGAATTTTCAATTAAAGTCTATAGCATGTAAATACAAAAAAAATGAAATTGATATTATTAGATGAATGAAAAAAAAAATCAATCTCCAAGTCAAAGTTTTTAATTTGTTTTTCTAATAAACAAAGTAATAAGACGAATAGTAACTCTAGATAAGATAAAGACTTTGCTTTTTTCTATTTTGAGAGAGTTCGTATGGATTAAGCAAAGCGTATCTTTGACCTCGAATTGGGTCAAGTTACTAAAAACAAAAAAGTTTTCCATTATGGCTTCGTTCTCGAGGACTCTGATAATAATTACCTGTTGTGTATTTATATTAAAAAATGAATCATGATTATCATGAAGATTAAATTCTTTTTTTTTTATTGTTAATTTTGGTTTATTATTTTCATGTTTTACAATCATTTTTGTAATTTCATCACCATTTTCTTCTCTTATTTTATCGATTAAATCATGTCTTTTTTCCGAAATGTACTATTTAATAAACAAAAAAAGTATAGAAAAAAAGAAAATTTAACTTATTAAATTCGATGTAATTTACTTCAACAAAACGATAAGCATCGAGTCGAAAATTAAAATCACCAAATATAACATATGGTACATTTTTACCAGAAGAATCAGGTAATAAACTAGTAAAAAAAGTATATATAATTATAAATAAATCAACTAATATTCAAACTTTTGTAGAGTATATTGCAAAGCGCTTCTGCGAAATTTACTGTATATAGATGGACTTCCTTCTATTGCTAAAAGATTTGATGCGTCATGAAATAGATGTACATTAACTAAGTCAAATGTACTAGTATTAAAAATAAATAAAAATTATTAATTAAAAGTTTTCTTTTCTTTTTTTTTTAAAAATATTTACAAGCCATTTATAAGCCAACGAGTTTGTGTAAAACCTTTTCGAGACCATTTTGCCTAAAAAATATTTTCATTAGTACATAAAAGTCTGAATTTTGCTTATTTGTTTTTTTTTTCCTACTTCAGGAAAAAATTCTCTAGGATATTTTTCTCTCCGTAATGTTTGAGCATTGACCAGATTGCCAGCAAAAATCTGACGATTAGCAACAACTTGAAAACATGAAGCTATAGAATAAAAAAATAAAAATTAATTATCTTCGGCTTATTTAAAAATACTTGTAAAATTCCATTGTTGAACAGAAAGATTTTGATGAATAAAATATGCACTACCAAGAGCCTAAAATAAAATCATATTTAAAAAAATATAAATAATAAAATCTATAAATTAACTGTAAACGTGTCCTGAGATGAATAATCCGAATCAAAATATAGACGATAACGAGTAAAATCAGAAGAAATTTCAGGTAATTGAAGAAGATCACTATTTATATATTTAATAAATCAAACTAATAAAAAAGAAGAGTCAAATTAAATTACTTGAAAAATTGATCAAGTGTATGCATAAATTTTTCATAATCTTTTCCTCCAATTTCTTGACAATGTAATGCTATAAAATCAGATGGATGTCGACGTAAAAGCTAAAATAAACAAAAACGAAAGAAAATTATTTATTCGCGCAAAACTTTATATTAAATATTTTCTTTTATCTTTTTATCAAAAATATGTCAACGAATAATAAAAATTTTAGTCTATTTCAAACGGCTACAACACAAATAAAAAATATTTTATCTAATGATGATAATATTAAAAATAAACCAAATGAATGTATTATTTATAATAAACCATCAACTATAGATGATACAAATGATTGTACGTTTACTAAAAATCTCGATGATTTATTTAAACGTGAACCCGATTTATGTGAAGAAGATAAATTTCGTGTATGTTTTATTGATTGTTCCTGTGACTGTTTAGTATGTATTATTATTCTTTTTTTGTTTTGATCATTATTATTTTTCTGTTTATCTAAATTATTTCTAGGCTAAAAAAGTAACACAGGGTAGAGTAATACCAACAACAGATGTGGGAATATTTGAAAAACTATTAAAAAATTTAAAATCAAATAATTATAATATTTTTTGTGATTGTCATTGTGGTGATAATCAACAACGTTCGTTTTCATTCAATTATTCAGCTGGACAACAAAAACGAACAATATAAATTCATCCTCTTTATCTATTTTTTTCCTCTCTTCCTGATGACAACGCCATTCTTTTTCCATTTATATCAATTATCTCTATATGTTTTACTTACATTCGCGAATTCGATCAGCCATGCTGTTAGTAGATCGGGCTAGAAGACAATATAAAAAATATAACAACAAATGATATAAGAAAATTTTATTTTCATATACCTTTTCGAATATAGAACCCGTATTAGCTGTAATCAGCAATAATCGAACATTTGATTGATTCGATGATATTGTATGTTCAATACTCATTATCGTTTATCGATGAAGAAAAATAAATCCTTTTTACATGGTGGCGATGCTTGCGCTGTTATGATGATTGTTGTTTATCTGAAGGCATCATCCAAATTACAAATTCTTCTTCATATTGTACATATATAAGACATATGTGTTATATGGCCCTATCTGTGAAAGCTGGATTATAGAAGTATGGAAAGATTAAGTAAAAGAGTACAAGGCAGGTGGAGATAATTAGTAGATTACATAAAAAAAACGATAGAAGAGATCTACGTATATGTACATATTGCTTTAATAAATTGTTTGTAGAGGGAAAAGATGGCGATAAAGAAAAAATAACTTCTGCTCGATTGCTAGTTTATGGAAAAATAGTAGTGATGATGATTTGATGATAGATATTTGGCTAGAATTGGCGCTGTTGCTACTGCTCTTTTCTTCTCTACCCTACTTGAGTCGTGCAGTAGATGGAAAACAAACGAGGAAATAGAGAGAAAAGGAAGGAAAAAAAAGAGAATAGACATTGTTGATGATAATATACATAACTCTCATGCTCCTTTGACACATAACAACACCGGATTGCAATCAACCATTTTTTTCTTTCCTATTCTGTTTTTCCTACATCCTGTCAGGGATTGGATGCGCATGTATATATCTATGCAATTAAAATGTACTTCTGCTTTTGACTACCATTTGAATGAATTTATATATGATTATATTTTCAGTTCATTTTTTACTTTTAAGTGAATTCTATATGTTAGTACTAAAAATAATTTTATTACAGAAAATCTACACGCTTGAAAGGACATTAATAATAAATGATAACTAAGTTCTCCGAAAAAGAAATATATTTCAAGTCTTCTACTAATAGATATTAATACATATGTCGATGAAAGATAAAAAAACAACTATTATTATTACTGTTATTAGTAATAATGATAATAGTATCTGATAGATTAAAGACAGAGTATGTGAAGAAAATGATTAAGTAAAACCACCTGTTGTCATTATCAAATAATATCGAATTACTGCGTCGAAGAAAAACAGCTAGAAAAATCATACGCTATAAAGAAAACGAAGAAAAAGAATAATAATTCTATAAGTAACTAAAAGAAATTGAGTTAGAACTATGAATAACTTCGTCAATCACACATCTAGACATCTTCAAATAATAGAAGAGTTTTATTACCCATGTACTAAGATATGAAAATATCAGAGACATTTATCACTTAGTTGAATTACTTTACCATAAGAAAAGTCTTGAGAATGCAATTCTCTTTCTCTTTCAAATGTATGTGTGTGTCTGGTAATGCTGAAATAGAGATGCAGATTTACTTCTACGACTGACTTCCAATGATGCCGACAACAACCAAACTATAGCTTGCATGCTGCTTTCTAATGCGCACACACACATATATAAGATAGCATTTTTCTTATTTCCCACCCGCTGTCCAAGTAATGCTTTTTTATCGAACCTATCAAATACATAGGAGCACACGAACGTATATATATATATATAACGATGAAAAACGGTCGTAGTTGCAGGCGAAAGAACGCATGCAAGTAATGAGCAAACATGCACGTATGCACACACTTGCCCATCGGCGACTAGAGATTAAGAAGGCCAAACATATAGAAAACAAAGGTCATCGATAAAAAAGATAAATGTCTTATATTAATAATTTTCTTTCTTCCAAAAGTCACTTACCTATTTGCACGGAAAATGATAATCATATGTTGAAATTTAATCTTCATCGTTTTTCTTATTCTTTTCTAAAATAAAAAAAAAGACAAAATGATTGATTATTTTGCTTTCCTTTCTTCATTTCATTCACAAAGATTTATCGATTATATGTATATGTAAAAAACAATGAAGTTAATTAAAAACAAACATAAAATATAAGAAAAAAAGAAACGGAATTAATCTGAAAGACATGTTAAACACCCAATTTCGTCTTCTCTATGTACTGCTGTTATAATGAAAAAAAGTAAATAAAAAGAAACAAATTCTACGTATACATATATATAAATATAAATATATATATCACTGTTCGGATATTTACGAAGCTGAAATATTATTTTTGAAGATACAGAAAAAAAGAAACGGAAGAGATTATTTATTATTAAATTATCACATTACATTTGATTAAACAATATGTGCATTTAACGATGATATCGATTAACCAGTAGTTTCAACTGGCCTTTAGAGTCTGCTGTAACCATCACATAAATTGCTCCTGTATAGTTCATGGTTGATAATCCTTCCGATGGATTTGATGCAATATTTATACCACTTGTTCGTATTCGATTAGAATCTGTATTTGATATTGTTGAGATAGGAGAATAATTTAGTAAAGATGAACCATCATTAGATGAATATAAATAATTCATTATTACAACTGGATTTGGTGCAAAGATTGCAGATGTTACCATTGTATTATGAACTAGAACAAAAAAAGAAAAAGAAATTCAACTTTAATTTTCGATTAAAATTGTTGTTGCTTGTTTGGTTTTTTTCCTTGTATCACCTCGAATGCGTTCAAATGCACGATCAAAATAACGCCGTTGTTTTCGTGATAATTTAGCATTTATTGATGAATCATTACCATTGCTACTTGGTTCCGTTCTCCATATATAAAACCAACAATCTTCACTGCCACTAGAAAAAAAATCACAAGACATTAAGGATTATAAGAAAATAAAATTGAAATTATACCTTATAATATATCGATCATCATAACTAAATGATGCTCGAATTTGACTTGATTGATTTGAGTAACCACGGTATTTACGTTCAATTTCTTTGGATCGAATATTATATAAACGTATTCGAGAATCATTTGATGTAATTAATACCTTTACATAAAAAGAAAAAATGTTTATTTTTTTATTTTATTCATTTCAATTAATCATTTATACTTTTGAATTGTTTGAATTCATTGATTCAATGCCTGTAAGTTTAGATGGTTTTCGGCGTCTTCTTGATCGATTACTTCGACTAGCATCTTTATCACCAATATTTATTACAGTCTAAATGAAAACAAATAATAAACATTCTATAAAAATATGTGTAAAATAATAGTGAAAGATTTATACATCATATTGTAACGAATCAGTATAAAACAAAAATCGACCATCAAATGTTCCAACGGTTACTTTACGACCATCATCACAAAAATTCACAGCTGTTATTAAATTAGCTTCAGCAGCAGTTATTTGAGATGATGCTTGAGCTGGTATTAATGTCCAATGAACGACACGTTTATCAGGAATATTCCATAGACGTACATGTCTAAAATATTTTATTTAAAGACTATATCTTAAGAATAATCCTTCCTTTTCTTTTCCGACAACTTCAGGATAGATAGACATCAATGTGTACAGCAAAAATTTTCTTAGACACCAAATTCACAGATGCATCCCTGTATAATCTATTGATGCTGGAAGGCTAAAAAGTATCCTCGCCACTGCTTTCACAGTCACAATACATTTGATTGAACCAAAAATTGTATTACAAGTGCTAGACACTTTTTACAACGGCTTTGTTTGATATTTTTCTGTTTGAATGACACCATTAAATTCTGAGAGCACCCTAAGGATACATTGTCTTTTTACTAGAATTTTTTTCCTCATGAGGGAAGTCCTTGAACTGATTAATCCATTTTGAGTCGAGTCTATGTGTGTCATGCAGACCATAATGAGATATGAATGCACTCAAAAAAAAAGTTCGGACCCTTAGCTTATTACTGCTGAGATTTTTGTTTCTTTTATTAATTCCATGGTAGCCCTCAGGAACACTAGGAAAACTCATCTTCGACTTGAAACTTTACATATATTCTACGATATAGCTATGACAAAAGTTTTTTTTTTTACACTGCTCATATACATCGTTAGATTTGCTGTTCTTATTTCAGAAAAGGAGCAAATCAAAAGATCAGAAACTAGAGTCTATCGAGTTGATCCTGAATCTGGAACCGAAAAGTTTGGATTCTATGAGCTCGAGTAGTTTGAGAAATGTGTGCAGGGTGCCTACACACAGAATACAAAAAGTCGGGAAAAGTATTTGGTATCATCTGAGCGACTATTCAATTCCAATTAGAAAATTTCATTGAGAATATCAAAGTATGACCCGATCGGGTTCGGGTTCTACCGAAAATTTTCACAATAAACTATTCTGGTTAAGATTCATCTTTGTACAAAGTTTTAAGTTGAAATTTGAAAATGAATTTTCCTCGTGTTGTTGAGGATAACCATGGCATTAACTTAAAAAATACTGCAAAAATACAGCATTATAACGGCAGCAATACACAAAGGAGCAGAACTATTTTTTAGGGTATTCAGAACTCATTAGGATCTATATGATGCACAGAATTGAGACTCCAAAATTATTAATTAATTGAGGGACTTCTTTCATACGCATATAAAAATACTAAGGATACATCTGATTTTGGAGTAAAAAGAAAAGATAACAACCCTAAATACTTTCTAGTATAAATACTAGAAAGTTACAGATTTATCGGAAGAACTATGGTTGAGAAACAGGAGACATTTTCCACTGTTTTTCTTTCGCCAGAAACTCATTTTCCAAGATAAACAAAATAATGTAAATATTTTTATGTTACTTAGCGAAAATATTATTTTTCCACTGTTATGGTTGTACATTGACTTTTGAAATATGTCTCGTACACGGAGAACTCTTCGACGCGTATATAAAGCTGAATAAACAAAAATTGAAAGATCTAAAAAAGTTCCGGTTCGGAAAAGAAGAACCCTTGAGTAGTACTTGCATTTTCTTATAAAAATATTTTCCTTTTTTCTTTTACATAGAAACCAATCAATACGGAATCGGAAAACAAGGGAATGAGAACACAATATGTCAATAGTCTGTTTATGAGAACGTAACTTTTTATTGGTATAAACTTAGTTTAAGTTTACTGAAAAGAAAAATGCCTTGTCGTGCACATTCTTCTTCAAAGTCTATTCTCAAAAGTCTCACAAAACTTGTAGCTACGCTTAATTTGAATAAATAATCGCAAAACACAAGACGTAGAAAATCTTGAGGAAAAAAATGAGTTTTTAAATCAAAACAATTATAATAATCCTTCAAATCAAGAATATCCTAAAATGAAATCTAGCCAAAAAAAAAAAACAGATCTCTTGTATGAATATTTTCAATAGGGAAGCATCGTGAGTTTTGAGTCTAGGACAATTTTTGCTGTAGTTATCGAGATCTTTCTAATCTGAAAGTTTCAAAGTTGTCGAATAAGTTGTTTTCAAAAAAAATTCCAAGAAAACTCCTTTATTTACCAAAATACGATTGCAACGGGACTTTTCTAATGTATATTAACTGAAGATTTCCGAAAGGGTTACTCTATTTTAACATATGTGGATGATGATCTTTAGAAATCTCATCATTATTCATTCGTAGTGACAAAATCAAAGAGGAGGGCAGGGGATGCTGAGCCTTCTGGTCAGGGAATCTCTCCAAATAGCAGATCGCTGTTTGATCAAGATTAGGTTCATTTGAAGAGTGCTAGTAAGTAATAGAAAATTCTAGAAAGATTTTGTTTTTCGATCCTTCGTTCTCGAAATATCAAATTTTTACTGGATTTTTCAACAAAAAGTTGTTGTTCCCCTCAAATCACATGAAAAATCAATCTTCGAGTTTCAACTTCAAACTTTACATGAACAAAGGTCTTAATGTAGATTAGTTTCAAGCGATAAGTTGTAACTTTTCTATTATTTTCTTTCTGAAGATGTAAATGTTCCACTAATGGGGAGACACCGAGAAATTAAAGGATATTCATGAGAGTTCGCCTAGCATCTCTCTCGACTAATTGTTTAAAGTAATAAAGAAGAACAAGTTCTTTCCTTTAGATTGAACCATGCGTCAACAATGTAATCTTATCTGAATCAATGTTATTGCTATCTCAGCTTTTATCAATGAATATACAGTATGAGAAAAATAAAACTATGACCATTTGCCAATGCAATCATTCNAAATGAACAGTTCAATATTTCGACTGTTTTAGATCAGTGGTTTGTATACTTATCTTTTAACATTATCATCCCTTGTTCGAATCCATCTCTGCGCATTATAAAAGATTTGCGTAAGAGAGCACAATAATAATTCATAAATCCAGTGAAGAAAAATGAACGATCAAATCATTAGAGAAGACCATGCTCTAAATTTGATGAATTTTCATTTTCAATTTTTTAAAACTCCTAATTTAAAAAGTGAAAAACGCTGTATAACGCTTGTAAAAGTCGATTGTTTCGCAGCTTTCCTTTTGGCAGATGCAAAACTCGTCAAACCGGTCAGCATTAACGCGTTTCGAACCTATGAAGAAACGCGTTCTGAAAACGCGTTTTTTCCGCAGAAATTTACGCCATGGGTAGTTATTGAAGGACCACTGTCGTTCGTTGACGCAAATATGAAACCATGGTGGTTGGCATTTTATCCAGTTTTCTCTCAACTTTCGTGCTTTTCAAAAGATCTTGAATAATGATATTAGAATATTTCGAAGACAATTATCAATGCTAGATTGATCTGAGGTTAATATACAACAAAGATTTGTTCACGAATCTTGAGATACTTATAAACTTTCAACATTTCAATATTCTTTAAAGTTTTCTTCCACAAATTAGATAGAATAATTGGTTCGCTATCCACCGATGCAAGCAATTCGCCGAAATCTCTCCGCAGAACGTATTTGTGATAAATGTTTGATAAACTTTTCCCAAATCAAACATTGACATGAATTAGAGCGAGTGCATAATCGACTTGACATTAGTAGGATGAAAATATTATTGCAGGCATACCCTCTCAGAATCCTTTTTCTTCTGGACAATACATTAATTGTTACAATGACTATTCATTGGTTCATTTTTTCTCGTATTCGAAATGATCAACGGACGGTAAATCATGTCCATGAAAAAAGATTAAGACGAGATAAATGTGTTGTAACATTCAAAATGAACTTGAAGTGTTATATTTTGAATTTTTGAAAAGGTTTTTATTAAAAATAAAATTTATCTTAGAATATTATTTCAATTAATACAATCATTTTATAAAGATTAATTATACAGAATTTTCAAAGAGCTTATTTCAAATTATAAATTTATCTTATTCAAGATGAATTTATTATCTAAAAGAAAAGTTCATCGAGACTTAACATCTTAAGAGTGAGGACTTGGTAAAAGTATAAGTTTCAGGGCTCCAAAGAACAATGGCATGGTACAGAAAAACAAATTTCCATGTAACTTAAGACAATCGAAAAATATTCTCAGACGTTCTTTATTTCTATAAAGAAATCTAGAGAAATTTTATCTTTACATATGTAGCGATGGTAAAAAAACGATGTATTATTTTTCTATGATATTTTATTATTCTTCGAATACGTATGTTACGTTGCTTTTTCACTACAACTTCGACTAAGTTTCTTTAGAACTTAGCTATGACAGATAAGTTTCATGCACTTGGAAATTATCTCAACAATTCCATGATGAAATAATCAATGTAAGTATACTATTCAATTTTATTCGATCATACTAATCCATACAAGATACATATAGATTTATAAAGTAAAACAGAAGAATAATTTAATATTTATTGTGAAATGATAGAAATAATCCGATATGATAAATGACTATGTACATCACTTGTAGTTGTGCTGATCAAGTCCATTGGTCTATTTTTCTTTTCAGGTTGATAATGCTCCTTCTATTTGCTGCTTATCATATATATTTGTCGAGCTTCTTTGTAATTTCTTATTTTGACAGTGTTGATCCAATTAACAACGATGTTAGCAATATTCTGAAGAAATATTCAAGGTTTTCTTTTTTTTAAGTTTTTCATACTGAATTTTTTTTTGTTTGTTTTTTGCGATCCTGATAATTCTTGAAGAGAAGATCATAGAAAACACGATGATCCCTCATTTCATTCAGGAATCTATGTTCTTTAAGATAGTACTGTCAAAAAATTGACTCTCTCAAAGTCTTCTAGGACCTAGAAATTATCGTTTTTTTTTAAATCTCGCTCCTTTATTCCATCTACGAAAGTTAAATGTTGAACACATTTGATAAAAACTTTCATTGCCTATTCAAATCACTATTTGAACTTGAGTAGATGCTTATTATTATCGAAAAAACTTAAAAATTCGTTGTTCTAATAGTCTTAGCTTTTATTATATTGAAAAATAAACGAAGCACATTTAATAAACTACTAAAAAAGTATTCTTTATTAATTATTAACGACAATTTTCTAGACTTAATTGTTTGTTAAACGTAAACTTAAACTTGACATGAGACAAAAAAAAAACAGAAATATTTTGAGAATTAGCGTATTAAAAAACGCTATATTGTTTTATTTAAGAATGTTTGAATTATTGTTCTGTTAAATATTCTTCTATTGCTTTTGAATCACGTTGAAGTACTTTAATACGCATATAAATTGTTTCAAGAACTTGTTTTACTGCTCGTGTTACAATTGATGTATTAACTGAATCAAAAAATGATTTAATTTCATTTGCTGTTTTGTCATCAGTAAAATCCGGTAAACTACTCTAAACAAAATTAATTATCAATTAAATTAAATTAATAAAAATAAAATTTTAAATTTACTTCAACTAAAGAAATAAGACAATTGCTATTTTCTCCAAAACGTTCAACAAGTTTCATCCAATTCTTTTGTAAAAATTTCCAAACTATATCTCGACCAATACGACTTGATGCACAACCAGCAAGACCTAAAACTGAATCTTGCATTCGAACTTCATCCTACATAGAAAAAAAAATATGATATAAACAGCTATTAACACAATGTAGCTACCCATGGAAAAGTTAAGACCTGAAAAAGTCACTATTAAGTACTTTTTATTATACTTCTATAAATGTCAAAGATAATAGAACGAAAATTTAATTTATTTTACTTTTATTAATTATGAAAGTATTTGAAAGTAGATTTTTTTTTTACCCCTTGTTGTTACATGGGTACTGTTGCTAATTACAGGAAGATTGGTTTCTTCATCATCCTTTTCCTTCATTTTCTAGAAATGTTATAAGGAAGTCATTCATTTGTTGTCTGAGAGTAGCATTCTGCAAGACAGTTTGAAAAGATTCAGGATTCGAAGTTATTCAAAGCTCCTTCGAATAGGGCAGACAGAATTTTGAGAAGACGAAAAACGTTTCTCCTATAGGACTCTATCTGTAACGCAGGGGGTCGGTCACGCTCTGTAGTTTTTACTAATCTATCAAAGATTATCCTGAATACAAGCGAGATATAAATAATCTAGAGAAAAACTTCGAAAATTAATCATACACTTTCAAATATAAATTGTAAAACGTTTTCAATCATATTAGGGTTTTAATGATTGACCCATTGAACAAAGTAATCGAACTTTTTCTTCAGTCATTTCAGCTGTTTTGTATAATTTTCGTAGTTCTTCTTGAGTATTTTCATCTCCATAAAGTGAAACAATAATATAAACGGCTGCACGAATATTTGAATCAATTAAATCTCCATTAATATGAGATGGAAAACGTTTTTTAGCTTCATCTATAATTGCTTGATCACCGGATTTACCCATAATACTTAAAATCATTGGACGTAACATAGCAACAAGTGGATTTTCATTTTCTTTTTCATCCCAACCAAGTTTTTCTTGTATTGATGAAAAAAAGATTTAAACGATATTTATTAAATAGGTCATAATAACCAGTATATTCAATGAGTGATGACAAACCACCCATTGTTGATGCTAAAACAAATAAGAAAAAAAAAAAAAAGAATTAATCTTGTTTTTTTTCCTTATTATTTTACCAATTGATTTCCAAACAGTAAAATTATCTTCATCTTTATATGATAATAATAATTTAAAATAGTCAACAAATGATTGATGATCAGCATTGCATAAAGCAGCAACATCATCTTGAATCATAAGACGATCTTGTGGACTAAGTGTTTTATTAGCGATTGGCTCACTTAAACATGCTAATGTTTTTGATTCATATTTAACCCTTTGAGGCCCAGCGGGATATATATTTCCCACCTTGAGAATTTTGAAATCTTCGAGTTTTCGAGAATCTTGGAGAAATATTTTAAATATATGTTAGAAGCTAGCAGAGGTCCGTACAAGATTGATTGGATAATAGAGTGTATAGATGACATTGAAAAGCGCACCTTGCGAAGTTTTGACCCCAGGGGGGGGGGGGGGGGGACTCGACTTGAGAGGCGCCCGAGGTCGTCCGCCGNGTTAAAATTTCAATGATTCCACGCGTTTAAACATGTAAAACATGTTAAAAGTTATTTTTCCATAAACAGTTTTAACGTGTTTTTGGCGACATATGACACTGTTTAAATAGTTTACATATTGGAATGTTTAAACACCGTTTTATTCGTTTCGCTGTCTGCCTGGGTTTGCTCAAACAGAGCATAATTTTTCTATTTATGAAGATAATTGAACCTTGATTATAGGCTAAAAACTATATAGGATCTTATTTGATAGAGTTAGCGCATTTCTCTATGTTACATCGTTTTGTCTCATGCAACATGTTTTTTTTTTACATTTGTTAACCAATCAAAATAGGAGAAGATACTAACGGTCAGTTAAATCATTGACACTTGAAATAGTCATTGTTTAATCAGATCCTATAGATATTAGAAATCAAAAAACGACTTTTCAAAGAAAATTAAAAACTAACTCACTGGAAAATAGAACTTATTGCATATCTGGACGATGAATTAAATATACTTAAGTTAAACATTTCTTTATACTTCATCTAACAACTTCATATATGAATAGTTCTTTAGAATAAAAAGAAGAAAATAAGATTTCAACATACTATCTGAAGTGTCCATGATGACATAACTTCATTAACTGGTTTATTAGATGCTTTAGACAAATGTGACCAAAGATTAACGGTAACTGTATTTTTATAACTATATTCTTTTAAATAATTATGAAGACCTTTTCGAAAAGTATCATCACCAATGTAATCATGCAACATACGAATTACTGAAGAACCTTTTGAATATGAAATCTCATCAAATATTTCTTCAATTTCATTGGGGTGTCCTAAGAAGAAATTCAATATATATTGAAATCAAAAAACATTTATAAAAAAAATATTTACCGATAGGTATTTCAATTGGATGTGATGATTTTAATGCATCAGATACAAGAAATGGTGCAAATGTATCAGCAACAAATTGTGTCCAAATATCAAATTCTGGATAACATTTGTCAACAGCTAAATATTGAATCCATGAAGCAAATCCTTCATTAAGCCCTAAAACAAATAAAAGAATAAAAATTCTTCTTATTTTATTTTATTTACATAAATCAGTCCACCAATCCATTGTCTATATGTAACAAAAACAATACTTAATCTTAGTTTGTTTTTTTATTTTCAAAAGGGTAAAATTACATACAACTAAATTTCCAAACCATTGATGTGCAAGTTCATGAGCAACATCAATAGCAACAAGTTGACGTGATTCCATCGATGAGAATTCTGGATCAATTAAACGAGTTGTTTCACGATAAGTAACTAACTATATAATAACGAAACAATAAGAACGAGTTAATCGAAATTTAAATATTAACTTACACCCCAATTTTCCATAGCTCTATGAAAGCAAAAAATGAATAAAATTATTTCTCACGATTTTTTTTTGACATCTTTTCTCACCCCATAGCAAAATCTGGTATAGCAATTTGATCAGCTTTAGCTATTGGATATTTAATATTAAAATATTCCGTATAAAATGGTAAAACTTTTGAAGCAATATCTAATGCAAACTGGCCGTGCTCTTTTTTGCCTACTGGTGCATAAACTCTCATACTAACACCATTTGAATCTTTGGTTTCAACATAATCGTATTCACCAACAACATAAGCAACTAAATATGTGCTCATTATTGGTGTTCGATCAAATTTTGTTATTTTCCATTCTTTGTCATCAAGATATTCATTTTCATATATTATTGGCTATAATAACAAAAATAAAAAGAAAACAACTTTCTTATGTTAACAATTAATATATATATATATGTTGGATTAAAAGCTTTTTTCGAATACGAAACACAATGTAGATGCTCTTGCTAATCATGTCCATACGTTCAATCTTTTTGAGTATTTATGATGTGTGCATCATGAGTTATGATCTGATTTTTTCTTAGTTACTAACTTCACTGACGAACTTATTTAGCAGACGTACAAAATCTACCTATGTGTGTTCACTCGTAAGAGGGGAAATTTTTGATTATAAAAAAGTTTTTATTTGGTGAGACTTAGGACCCGAAGTTCGTGCATAGATTGTGTGATTTATTTGCTACTAGAGAATAATGTAACTGTTTTGTATTTTTTTCTATTACCATTTAATACATGCCTCTTTCAACATACTTATGTTCGAGTTCAGTTGTATTAAAATTTGTTGAGTACAGTCATTCAAAATAAAATGAGTTGTTTTATTTTGACAGCAAGGAAACTTTTCATTTTAATAGTAGATTCTGCCTCTCTATTATTCAGGTACCCACTTAAGTTAGTTATTAACCTACATCTCAAAATATCACCAAAATGCAAATCACTAAATTTTAACGATAAGGATCTGAAAGCGGTGGATCCGAGTCCGAAAATTTTCGACCCAAATGAGCTCTAGTCATCTGAGAAATCCACAAGATGCAATAATCATTGAATACAAAAAACAGGAGAAAAAAGCATCTCGTATCTTCGAACCGGCTCTCTAATTTCGATAAGAAAATTCCATTTAGCACATCAACGTATGGTTTGACAAGATTTGAAAATATGGGAACCGACAGACTCTCTCCTGCAAAAATTTAGTTAAATATACAAACCATATTTGATATAGCTTGAAGATTTTTTGGTGTGATTAATGTAATGTCAAATGTTGCTTTAAAATTCGGTTCATCCCAACATGGAAATGCTCGTCGATAATTAGCTGGCTATAAAAATTAAAATAAAACAAAACAAAATATTAAAAAAGAATATTTTTACATCAAAATGTGTACTAGCACCATATGGAACTTCTTGTCCATCAAGTGTCGAATATTTATATCGATAAAAACCTTGCATATGATCATTGATATCACCAATAAATTTCAAGGCTAATTTACAATCACCTTGCTATTACAAGTATAAACAATAGAAATAATTTCATATAGAAAAACAAAATTAAAATTTATATACTTCAAGTTGTCTATTAAAACTGATTTTAACACGTTCATTTTCTTAATCCATCTCGATGGTACCCTGTAATTCATCTTTTTAAAAAAAAAAGCAAGATATTTTTTTTTTCAATTCAACAACAATAGAAAAAGAATTTTACCCTTTGAATCTAATGTTATTTTTGCTTGATCAATTTGTAATTCAGCTGCATACAATATCACAGTATCAGTCGGTTGGTTAACCTAAAATAAAAAACAAAGAAAGTCTCGTTTTTATTTACTTTGCGTTTTTATAATATAAACACAAACCTTTAAGTGAATAATAACATCTCCATTAAATTTAAATGTATCAAGAAATGTTTGAATTGTTAAATCATAATGTGTTGGTATAACTATTTGAGGTAAGCGTTCAAATAACTTCTTCGTATCTAGATCACTCATTGTTTTAATCCAGTGGTGATTAATGTAAGTAGTCGAAATAAAACAAACGTACAGAAAAAAACCAAAAAAAAAAATGATTGGTTATCATCGATTTGAATCATAGATTAATCATAGATAGTCAATAGTATTTTTTCGATTTGTTTCGGTTTTCAATGTCATTTTCGGCCTTTTATTATTATGCAAGATTGGATAAGAGTATTATCATCAAATGAAAATTATTGCTTTATTTATGACACAGTAGGCACAGTTCGCGACAGTTAGCATTCTTGAATAATTGCTTTCAAGAGAAAATCAGATAGGTAATTTAAATAGCATATACGGTGTCGTTCATGGTTATCCCAATGAAAAATGAGTTACTTCGATGTGTATTTGCAGATATATACGCCTTGCTTTTGAGAAAATATATTATTTGAACAATTCAGGTAGTATTGCTTGCGGTTTATCGATGAAGCGACGTAAAAAACATTGTGCACCTGTTGCAGCTGCTAGAAAAGCAGATAATCGTATGACTACATAAGTACCGGTAACGTTCACGAAATCCATATTAACAAGAGAATCAACAACACCTTTCACGACACAGAAGACCAGCACAATGTCTAGCTATTCGCGCAACAAAAATTCAATAATCTCGTGTTTTGTTTTATTTTTCAATCGACTAAATCAATATAGGTCTAATGCTTGGCATTTCACTTGGTCTTGGTTTTCCGGCGGTGCTGCGCATCATCATTGCAGTTAAGCGTTATTTCAAAGTTGTTAAACCGAAAAAGAACGTGTTCATTAGTAGTGCAGCTATCAATGAAATTCCGATGACATCAACGAGTGACATAACAGATAAGAATAACACTGTAACAGCGATTTCCGTTTAAAATGATAACCTATTTTTCTTTGTATGCGCCACATGAAAAAATTACAAAGTGAGACTAGTAAAAATCTTTGACAGTTATAAATCTTTTTATTTCTTATAACACAAATATCGTTAATATCAATAAACCCATGATGATCAAAATATTGTTGAATTCATAAAAGGAGCGCTGAAATAATCACGAATCTAAACAGCTACAGAATAAATAGATATCTCACGCAAACCAACGACAGATGGTATGCTAACTTAAAAACAACCTTAATGTTTTGTCACAAAGCAGACAATCAAAAGTATCCTATTGACTCTATGACAAACTGGTCTTGTATGAGTGAGTCCGGGCGGATTGGAGGTGGTTCAGATGTTCATTATACTCACCTACATCCACCCTGTACGTAGTATAAACAGATAATTCAGATTGAGATGTTAATGTATTAGTGAAAAAAAGGAATGAAATACATCGACAAAATGGTACGGATGAGAGTACTGTTTCGAAACCGTTAGTAACTCACGTTTATAAATTACTAGTTTGACATCGACGAATGAATCGTATATTGAGAGGATGAGAGGGCACACCGATGGGATCACCAGATGGCATTTGAAAATGACTCAATTCTGTATCTGCACTTGTCTTCAACAGTGGCATCACATTCAGATCCTCCTCTACAGGTTGAGTCATGTTCGAATCAGTCTCCAATAGTTGAGTAACGTCCGAATCTGTCTCCATTAGTCGAACAATCTTATCATCATCAACTAGACGTCGAGTAACCAGCAGAAGATATCTAACCATAAAGAGAAACAGCGAAACGTTTTACATAGATTTGATAATACTTACATATTGAGAATGAATGGAACCGAATTCAGACCGGCAGCAAGTAGAAAAGTGAAACTTCGATTGTGTACTACAGTACGAGCATAAATCCAATTGAAGAACGAGCCACCAGCAGCTATCATTATCACGTGTGTTTCTGTAACAAATGTGAACGCATGACTTCGTTCGTGTGGTTCCAACCATTTGGATATCATTGACCATGTCAATGAACCTTGATACGTCGTAAAAGGATTGATCGATAATGTCGCATACATAGCCCAGTTATGTTGAGCAAATGCAGTCCAAATAGTTGAGGCACAGAAAAGGATGTGACTAATAACACAAATAAGTGGATCACTAGCGCCGAGTCTCGTTAACGCTTCTATGCCGAGTACACGAAGAATTGCGGATGCAATCGAGGATAGAGCTGAATAGTTTCCGATCTCTTTGGATGACCAACAAAATGGGACACTGAGAAGGTACCAAAGAAATACCGCCATTGATGACGATGCAAATGTGTAGAAAGCAAAAGCCATTAGTGTCACATAGAGACTGATGGATTTTTTACGTGATCGACGATTAAATGCGAATACAGTAAATACTTCAAAAAATTCGGTCCATACTTTCGATGGTTCTCTGATATGGACATTATTGGTGTTGACCGATGATGCTATACAATGATTTCTACACTCCAACGTTGCTGAAGTTTCGACAATGAAATGACTCGGTTTAATGAAACGAAGGGCAACTACAATTGAAAACAGCTGCAAGACCAAAGCGACCCAAAATAGATCAGTAAAACCACGCCATGCGATGTAATAACCAATTACAAATGATGCCACTGCTGATAGACTCGTTGTTATTGCACCGAGAAGAACAAAACGAGACGAACGTTCACTTTCAGTTGTACAATCGGTGACAATCAAATGAAGTACAAAGACTATATGAGAAATAAAACAAAAACGAAAAGAGATAGACAAAACGGTATAGAGAAAGAAAGCATGACCAACTATACCGAGAACACTCTGAGAGCCCGATAGACCGACGATAATTGAAGCAATGATCCACCAGTAATCAGCCAAATGAAAATAGATAATTGCTAACCAAATACTAATTTGAAGAACTAAGCCTGACATCGGCAGTATAGCTACTAATCGTATGCCTAATCTTGGCGTGTAAACACCGAGTACATAAGTTGCAATAATTATTGGAATACCATTCGATAGATCGACCCAAAAGAATAGATTGGCCGAACGTTGTTGTGCCCATGCTTGAGCTCCACTAGTCACAACGTGTGCATTTGTTGTACAATTTGTATCATTGTTAATCGTTGTCAAATAATGAGCATCAGAATTAGAACTACCATTACGATAGATCGGTGCAATAGTCAATGAATATGGATATGTTTGTAAATAGAATCTATAGACATATTGTCCAACTGTCGAACGAATGCAACCGCACAGTGTTTCAAGGCACAGAATAGCCCCAACAGCATATAGATTGAGATTAGGCATCGTAGAACAAATGATAATTGATGTAAAACTTGATGAAACCCGTTTACTATGATGATTAAGAGAAGTTACACTCACCGTTACTGCATATAACCATGTGTCGTTACGCAGATAGTAAGGTCTGACTTTTTTCCTGATTTCCTGTATGAGTAACCAACGTAATGCATACAAATAAATGAGTCGCTTCACGTCTTCATCATATGATAAAAATACAAAAAAATGATTTACAGGAAAGAAAAAAAAGAAATAATTTCACTCTCCGCTTCGCCTCTGTATGTGTTAAAAATCATTACATTTGCATGTATCTAGATGTCATTACAATCAGAAATGATTTTGCACCTTTTTCAAAAGCAACTATATTATTCCACAGAAAAATAATTTTACCTATTGAAATAGAAGAATATTTTTTCTCAGCGAGTCATTCAATAGAATCTAACGACTATGAAATATTTATTGCATTAATTACGTATAAATGAATAATTTAGTAGTTTTTGCAATTTTTTCAGTTCATAGTTTTCATTTAGATTTCATGCTCATCAGTATTTAGTACGAGATCTTTTGGTCGCCGTTTGATGATTTTTTTAGACACACATTCTTATTTTCTTGATGGACAAACAGCGTGAAAATCAATTGGTGTTGAATCATAATGGAAAAAAATTCAACATTGTGAGGAGTCTTATCTATTAATACATTTTTCTCAATCGCTTAATGTGCATTATTATTTTTTTTGAAGGCCGAAATTTACATCGTATGCATCAGTTAACATATCGTCGAAAACGACGTGAACTTTGCAAATCAAATGTTCATATCACATTATTTCAAATGACACAGAAAATTATGTTTGTAATTCAGGTAAATTTCGACTTGATTTCATAGACGTCAATTTTTCAATGGAAAGTCCTCAAAACGTTTTTGTTTAAGATGAAAGAGAATCTTATGACAATGATAATACAATAGAAAATATTCATGTTGCTAGTGAACGTGAAGATTATTTTAATACATCTAATGCAGGTAATATATATGTTTTTTTAACAATTAATAATTCTGTATTGAAAAAAATAGAGCAAAATAAATATTCATCGAAACATTATCTTGATACACATAATACACACGAAATTGATTTATATCAATTCGATCATGATGAGCAAAATTCATCTAACTTCGCTCATGAAGCTTGCGATGATGACAAAGAGGTTCATATGAATTCTGTATTAATAGCAAATTTCATCAGAAGAGTGAATTTAAACCATAGTAATACAACTCATTTGCTTCGTCTTCTTCAACATCTTCGATTTGATGAAGAGTTACCAACAGCAGAAAGTGAATTGTGAAAGTTATTAGATATTGAATTCGATTTTAATAGTTTCATTTTTTACTCATCGTGTTTATCAAAGTTGATAAAAATTTCTGATGTGTGTAACTGTAATCCACCATTTAGACAAATTAATTCCGAATTAATTGTATTTAATGTTGCAACTGAAATGAAAAATGTTATTCTACAGAGAACATCAATTGAATGGATTGGTATCGTAACGAAAATTGTCAAATAGTATCCGATATTGTTAAAGGTTAGTAATCTCCTTTTTTATGATTGATAAATATATAATATTCGACGGCATGCAAGTTTAAAATATTCTAAATATGATTATGCATCTAATAGAGAAGCTTTAATACTAAAAGTATATATGAAAGAATTGAGCTTAGAATTAGCCGGGCATATGATTTAATATTAAAAGCTCATCTGCGTTTGACTCAATTGAAAAACCATCTATCCGTAAAGACTTAGGTGTGCTCATATTAGAGAACATACATTGTTTGTCTATAAGCCCATATATTAGTTATATTACAATCAATTCTTGAATTTTTTTATAGGCTTGATATTCAAGAAAACAAAACAAATGATACCATATCTCTAATACTTAGCACTGACGGAAAACTCACATTAAAAACTAGTTCAAGCTCAATGAGGCCCGTAGGTTTATTATTATGATTTTGATTATTTATCTTTCCTAGTCTCTTACACTAGGTTTTGGGCACTATCGTAGAAATTCCACCTCCTGCTCGTGAGTTTGAAAAGAATGTTACGTTATTGGCTTTATGGCACTCGCCTGTTTCACCTGATGGTAATACATTACTACATTATGTGATCAAACAAGTTATTAATCTTAGAAATGATGGTTTATATGTTAATGTTGGATCTACAGATAAATTGATTTTGTTATCCATGATGAACTACTACTATGAAAGTTTTATGCAACGAATAGATAATCAATATAGAGTAGCTTATACGTCCAGATACTTAATAATTGAAGCTACACCATTTTAATTTATTTTCGATTTAAATTCTTACTAATTTAAATTCATTTAAATTTAGTTTTTTTCGTAATTTAAATTTGTCTTAATCTAAAATGTCTTAAATTTATTTCTGGATTTGATAAATTTTCGTGAATTTAAATTGATCACCCTTGTCCTCAGAATATTTTCTGCTTATGAAAATCCGAAGAATTCTCATTGTCGAACATTTTCATAAAAATATCTATTAGACTTTCTAGAGAAATGACAATGCTAGGATCAAAATGCTGAAAAATCTGAGGTAACCCAATCTCTAAGCTTATTCCTTTTATTTCAATATATTGACCGTAGCACTATGATATATTTGTTGAGTTTGAAAAATTGTATTAAAAAAAGGATCAGCAAAAAATACTCTACAAAGTCTTGCAGGCGAAGAATTCCTGAACACCTATTTTTTTATAGTTGTCTACCTATGAAGATTATCTATTATATGCCTAAAATTTTAAAACTTTAGGTAATTCTTTATCACATTGTCATACTATGACTTCCTTGTTGTGTTGGTTGATTCTGCTTTTGAGAATCTTACTTTTTGGTTTAAAACTTAATATTGAAATCGCTTGCCATAGAAGCAACATCTTCTTGAAAAACATTGTCTCTTGCCTAGCATCTATATCTATATATATATATATGTACATATTCTCCGAAATAAATGGTTTAATAGACGCACCCCAGTGAATTGCAATTAATGAAGCGGTTTCTCTCAAATATAAGATCTTTTGACTACGTGAAATCTTATAGCCATCAATTGTGTACGATATGAGTATTGATGTTTACCACCTTAGCGAACATTTGTTGTACCTTGTTAGAAATAAATCGGTTTCCATATAGCAATACAGAGATAGTTAATCTTATTTAGTCATGAAATTTTATCGATCGAAAAAACAGAAACTCGATTGTTTTCTTGAAAATTAATGTATAGGTATTCGTAAATTTAATATTGATGTTCAATTGGTTGTTGCTGATTTACTAGCTAGCGCTAAAATTACTTTTATTAATGGTCATGCTGGTTATTATGCTTGTGGAAATTGTTTACTTGAAGGAAGTCGATGTTTACGTCATCAGCATATATTATATACGTGGTCTGATTATTTTCGAGCTCAACCTCATATTCGTACACAAGAAAACATTGATTCTTGTGCAGTGTATGCCGAACTTTCAGGTAAAAAATCTTATGGCGTGCACAAGTCATCATTATTATCTCAAATTATATCAATACCTCATGAATGTGTATATGATTATTTTCATCTTATATATGAAGGATATATGGTGATGCTACTCAAAGAATCGAAATTATTATTAAAACAAGTTAATATTGACTATATCAATTATTTACTCAATGGAAAGCTGGTGATTTACGAACGTTTTTTCTCTATCTTGTTCTTCCATTGATTATTCGTCTTCAACCAGCTTTATCAAATAAAATTATTTATCATTTTTCTCTTCTATTGATTTCTGTTAGAACTCTTCGTCATTTTCATCATCACCATGAGATAAATGATATGAACAAACTCATACATGAATATTTGAAAATGTTTTCGTCGATTTACGGACATTGTCGTGAATTATTATCAACTCATTTATTAGTTCATCTTCCAGAACAGTGTATTAGGTATGGTGGTCTCAGCTTTCATAGCATGTTTCCTTTTGAAAGTCAATTGCACAGTTTAAGAAAGATGGCTCACGGTTAAAAAGCACTTTCTAAACAAATTGCCTTTTGGGACATCATCAATAAAAGACTTAATACAAACAATGAATATTCTATTGATTTATTAACGAAGCAGCAGCTACGCTATTATATATTTTTTGATGAAAATGTTCGAATTCTTCACCACCAGGTATTTCAAAATGCATGTCATTCTTTTTTTGACCTACATATAGATTGTCTGGTGAAATATGCTTCACGATTTCAATCTGGTCTTCAAGTTTATCATTCATTGGCTTATAATCGTAAGAAAAATACTGCTAGCTATCGATTTTGTGTTCCTAATTTAAGATGTACAAAAAAAAATTTGTTTTGGTGAAATAGTTTTTTTCTTTTCTTATGAGGAAGAAAAATTTTTATTGTTAAAGCAATATAATTCCTCATATCGTCATTTTTCGTCCTTGATTGCGTATGAAAATTATGTTGAGACTTGGTCTGATTATATTGATCAATATTAATTTCTTGTTGAACGTTCAAGTTTTCATTTTGTCGTATTATCATGTTCTTCAATTGTTAATAAGTGTTTGTTGATTCCGTTCAGCGACAAACATTTTGTGTGCACTGAGAACAAACATGAGTTNTCAGCAGAAATCAGTCCGCGATATATTTGACGTAGATATCAAAGAAACTAAAAGAATAAGTATTACCGGTGAGTTTTTTATTTTTATAGGCATTAGGCTCCGATAACATTAAAAAAAAATCGAAAGAATTCTTTAATTATTCTATCATTTTTGCTTTGATGAATATATATGAACTAAAATCCTAATCAGAACTCTAGAAATATAATTGAAAACTGAAGAATTTTTAATTGGCAAGTGCAGGTTGATTACTTTACAGCTTTGTTCAGTTTATAGTACTTCTGAAAAATCTGGAAAATTTCTTATTTTGATATGATTGTATAAGATATTGATTACTGTATTTAACCATAGAGTTTTTATTTTATTGATTTCCTTTCTCCAGTTCAAAATTTGATACATTTCAAAAAACAATCGAATATGAATTTTTGTTTGTGACACTTGTAAGATTATTTCTTAGTTAATTCCTTCGTTAATGATTACATATTTGAGTTCAAAACTTTCCTATTTTTATATCGATAGATAGGACATTTGTTACTCTATCAAATCAATATATTTTTCATAGAATTCATTATTATAAATCTGGTAACTTTCTGATAAGTTTTTAGTTGAAATCTGATCAAAGAAGTTTTTTTTGTTTTGTTTTATTTTGTAGAAAAGATTTTGGTTATCTCTGCATTGAATTTTTCTCATGCAGATACATCTGGAGGAAGTACTGATTTTGTTATCCACTTATTTAACCTCTTTCTGATTTATGTTAGTTTTACAGGCAAAGTTTGACAAAAAACTTGTATGTTTTTTGTACAAGCCAAATAGACGAAAATTTTAAGACTAACTTGGAATAATGTCCGGAAATTTAAATTAAGTTTGTATTAATATTTACTTCGTGTTGAAGTTAAATAAATCTTTTCAATCTAGTACAATTATTGATGCAAAAGAATTTTGTATCAATAGCGTATGATCGTAAAATAGTTTCATTTCATTGCTTTTCGAAATTTATCAAGTTTCTGATTAAGGGTATTTCTCGGTCTTTTTTGAACACTTCTGTTTCTACAAATAGAACATTGGAAATAAACAGATATGTGTTCGAAGAAAAAAATTTCAAAGAGTTTTCCGTGGAACCGCATCATGGTATATTACGATCTCTATGAAATTTTATTCGATTAGGCTGAATATATTTTTGGTAGTACTTCAGACTATATCTCACAGTTAGTTTTGAGCTTTTTAGAATCTCATGAATCCGAACATGAGGATCAAAAATGAAAGTAGTTGATTCTACTTCTGGAGAATACTCTCAAGTATCTGTAGTCAAAATTTCAGTTCGATCAGATAAAGTTAGAGGGGAAGATTCAAAATGTCACAGAATATGGCTGTATAAAAAGCCTTTTTTGAATTTTTTTCTTCGAACACATCTCTCCTTATTTTAAGTATTGTATTCGTAGTAAAAGTTTTAGTTTGATCGGATACAATAAGTAAGGCTTCACTCAATAATAATAAGACTTTCTAAATTTTGCAGAAATAAAGCAAACTGAATAAAATTAACATAGTCAACATGCATATCTCATGCCAATAATTTAAAAATCATTATCTATCAATGTGACGCGCTATTCAAAAGATACCTAACATTGTTCAGGACATTGTCTTTTCTTGAAATACACAAAAAATAAGTCTCGAAATGGGAAGAAGTGGGTTGACCTAGCCAGCTCCTCCTTAGAATTCTTATATCATGTTTGTGAAAATGTTGAGTTGCTTTCGAAACACAGCCTATCAAATTTTAGAAATCGTTTTTTTTCAATCAATTTCTGCTAAACAGGTTGTCTATGAAATTGTTAGCGTCTCTCACTTCTAGAAACTATCGAGAGTCTTGCAAATTAATACAAAATATATTGCATATGTGCGTTTCGAATGGGCTCTTCGCTACCTGTGTCATTTCTTCTGCAGAAGCGAACAATTGTTACTTTATCAATTTAACTCAAATAAATAACACTTATTCTTCGTATCGAACACGATCAGATCTTAAAAGCTAGCCGTCTTGAGTTTGTTTGTTCTCGATCAAAACGCTTCAAAACAGTTCATTCTGTATTATTGTTCAATCTCTTAACATAATCTTGAACAGTGACTAATTGAGAAGTATTTACGGCAAAATATTCCAATTATCGGCAACAGCGTCTTAATGCATTAATTTTTACCGTCTTTTGCCGTAATTCGTTAATCTGTTTTATGGACTTACGGAAAGTAACAACGTAATGACTCTGGTTTTCATCGTTGTATATCGTTTACGGTGCCGTTTTCTTTTATCTAAGTAATCTAAAACAAAAAAAAAACAATAATTTTGAACATTTATAGATTCAATAAGTTTAACTAAGTCGGTTATATGTAGTTGTACACATAAAAATAAAAACGCTAAATAAATGCTTTTAACAGATAGACATATTTTATTTTCATATAAATCTTTTGATATAAGTTTGAGTCTCTTGAATATATTTCATTGATTTTTTGAAATTAGAATAAACATTTAAAAACTGACAAATATTTTATGTTTTTTTTGTTTAGAGGGTCATTTTTCATATTGTTAATTTTTCTAAAGTTAAATCATTATATCGTGATGGCATGACACCATTAGTTAAATCAACTAGCCGTAAACGATGGTAAATAATTATATACCTTAAAAAAAGAAACAACACTAACTATTGTAATTTCAATAGGCAACGTTTACCAACACGAAATGTTTTTTATTATCGTTGTCCTGATCACCGAAAAAATTATGTTATGTCATTTACGTTTTGTTTTGATCGTGAAGATGATGTTTATCAATTTGCTTATTCATTTCCATATACATATACTAAACTTCAAAATTATCTTGATAATATTGAAGAACGTCAATTAGATTATGTTCAACGCCGACCATTAGTTTTTAGTGTGGTAAAATTAAATTTACTAAAAAAAATTTCAATTTTTTGTTTGTTCGTAATTTGTTTTTGGATCTTAGCAAAAACGACGACTCGATCTTGTTACTGTTGCTAATCCATCATTATTAATTAAAGGAAAAAGAAAAAAAGTTGTTATTGTAACAGCTCGTGTACATCCTGGTGAAACTCCATCATCTTATGTATGTCAAGGTTTTATTGAATTTATAACAAGTGATCATCCTATAGCAAGATTGCTTCGAGATAATATTGTTTTTTATATTGTGCCTATGCTTAATCCTGATGGAGTTTTTCTTGGTAATCAAAGGTTAGTTTATTGAGACGATTTTTGTTTTATTTTGAAGAAAAAAAACAAATTTGATATTGATTTGAAGATGTTCATTACTTGGTTTTGATCTTAATCGTGTTTGGAGTGATCCGTCACACTGGGCACATCCAGAAATATTTGGAATTAAAAAACATATAATGGATCTCAATGAAGATCCAGTTTGTGAAATATATTTATTAAAGATAAAAAGAAAAAAAAAACTTATTTGAAATTTTTTAGGATGTTGAAGTTGACTTTTTTATTGATATTCATGCACATTCAACTATGATGAATGGTTTTATGTATGGAAATATTTATGAAGATGCAAATCGTTTTGAAAAACATGGTATTTTTCCACGATTATTATCTCGTAATGCAGAAGATTTTTCAATGACTAATACATCATATAATCGAGATACATTTAAAGCTGGAACAGGAAGACGGTAGAAGAACAGTATCATTTCATTTTGTTTAAAAATTTTATTGATTTTTTATTTTATTTTTTGTTTTAGAACACTTGGTGGTTGTTTACAAGAAAGTACACATTGTTATACATTAGAAGTTTCTTTTTTTTCATATCAAACATCCACAAATTCACAAGCAATACCTTATACAGAAGAATTATGTAAGGAAAATATTTTCTTCATTGATACTTGAAAAAAAAATTCATAAAAGCTAAAAGAAGTGAAGATGTTATATTACACATATGTTTTATTGCTTTTTAAAAGGAGAGAAAAAACTTTTCAATGCTTAATTGAATTTGTCTTGAACACTTCTAATGAGAAGATTATTAAAGTAATTCTATAAGAAAAGATTAATAATGATGGAAACGAAGGTTTTATCTTATAAATCTCCTATTTTTTCTGATCTATTTTCATGTCTTTGTAGATGAACAGCTCGGACGAAATTTAGCTCGAACATTTCTTGATTATTATAAGAGTATTAATTATATTTCATGGTCGCCTAGTTGTAGTATCATGCCAAGATTGAAAGAAGATCGAATTAAATCTCGTCTTACACGACAATCGACTAACATGCCGATTGTCAATCAAGATGAAGCGTAAGAGATTTAATTAGTTGATAGACATGCATATTAGTTTTTTTTTGTTTGTAGATTTCTCAATAGTGAAACATTCAATTTGAGTATGGGAGAATTTATCTATCCACAAACTCGCAATAACAATGACCCTGAATAATCGATCATCAATTATAAATATTGAACATGTTTTCTTTTTCATATTTTTTTTGTATTATCTCATATTTTGAATATTATTTACAAATGTAGCGTGTTTTTATACTGCATTAGTGCCAATTACTTTCATTTATTGATCGTTTAAACAACCTATAAGAATGAAAAGAAACGATGTAACAAAGCATAGAGTTCAATCAAATATGCAGACTATACATTGAGTTCTCATCATTCCTTCTTTTTTCACCCACTTGTAATGTGTTGCTTGCCTCTTTCTTTCCGCCTTTCTCTCTCTCTCCCTCTCTCTCTCTCTATGTCTGTCTCTTTTTTATTTTTTTGGAAACAATCATTTCCATTGATTTCTACTTACATAGGAAAAGGAGAACGACGAGCAAGATGATTCTTCTTTCTCGCTCTATATTGCCTAATCGATTCGTTTCGATTTTGTTTCTCGCTTTTTCTACACTGACAATGCTTCCTCTTTTTTCTCTCGTCTTTTACTAATGCCTTTCGATTAGTTGCGTTATATACTGACACGCTAGATACAAATTATTAGCCTAAAGCATTGGTGATGAGAATGCATTTTGAGAAGAAGAAAAAAAAAAAAAGATGGATTGCTGCCTGCCTTTAAGTAGATACCGGGACAACAATAAAAATAAGAGACAAAGAGAGAGAGAGGGAAAGAGAAGACAATAACTCTTCTACTTTCTCTCACTCAAACACTTATTCTTGCTTTTTTTTATATACATGCTAAGTGAGTAATGTGCATACATTGTAGATAGTACAGTATATGTGATAAAAAAAAACGATGATGAAGAGACAATATCGACAGTAGACCACATAATAGTAGTTGTAACAGCAGTTATCTATGAATTATATTAGTAAAAGTTTCATTGTTTAACGTAAAGAAAGAAAGCAAAAGCATAGAGTAATATTCATGGTACCATTCACGCATCAAACCATAGTTTTCTTTTCTCTATCTTTATTGGCATATGTATAGATTACAATACTGTTTATTGTTGTTGTTCATGTGTGTATTATAGAATAAACGGTGGCATAGGAATGTGCCCATGTAAAGATCGTAAGGAAACACCTTGTCATCTCCCTATCTGTCGCTCTTTCTCTTTTCTTTTTTTCCTGTAAACTTCATGTTGTGCTAACTGACTAACTGCGGTTGGTAACGATGAACTTTGGCAAAGAGAAATGAAAAAATTGACTTCTGATGATGATCATGATGATCATCGTCTTACTATCGATGACGTTCTTCTTTTCTTTCTTATTTGTTTTGTTCTTCTGTTGTTTCTCCTATTACAGTCTCATTTCATTATACTGCCAATCAAAAATCTTCATATTTTTTTCGTTGCTACAACTTCGATTATTACATTGTGTGCTTAGCTATTGTGAGACAATTCATTATATTTGCCATTTATTCAGTCAGGTAGGTCTCTTTTCTAACTTGCATGCTTATTTCATTCGCTACTTTTCTGTCTTTTTTTATCATGATGATCACTTGAACCTATTTGTGATTCATAATCGACTTTTTCCTCGCATGCATGCACGATTGTGAGTGTCGAACAAGAAAGTAGACGCATACAGCCCAATGCGGAATTCGTCATTTCCTGTCATTGAGATCTAATCATCAGCAATAAGATGACGAGGAAAAAGAATAAGAGAAAATTTATTCAAAATACAAATTTTTTTATCATCAATTGATTACTATCTAAACTAAAACCAAATAAATATAAAAAAGAATTTTTTCTCCTTATGCGGTTTTTCTATAAAATATGATCAATTGACCTTTTATATGCTGTTCTTTTTCTTTATGGCTTAATTCTTCACTATATGTATATATACTTATTATCTATCATATTGGCAGTGAAGCGATGAAGACAACAAATCGCATGGCGCTTTTAGGCTACCACGTGCTACAACTGTCATGTTTCTCTTTCCTTTATCACACGTTTGCGTAAGGCGCCGGGCAATGATGTTCGCTTGATTTGCAATTTGCTTACTGGCACCAACATTATATACGTTCTAGTAAATACGCATGATAAATCAACAGAAAGAAGGATTCTCTCCTCCCCATCTGTGTCCGTATTTGTTCCCAACAAATATTTGATTTTCTCTTATTCACTTTTTTTTCTTTTTTTTTGCTCTATCGTTATTTCTTGATGATGAACTAGAATTATTAAGGATCGTTACTATAGGGGGTTGAAGGGGCAAACGTTGAGTTGTCATTTCTTTAGTATGGTATGTGTCTTTATGTATATATAAATGATTGACTGAATGGGATTGATAACCGATAGTAAATATGTCATGAATGAATTCAATTCAAGAAATCGATACAAAATTGATGGATGATTAGGATTCGTGTTATAATTGAAGTGAATATTGTCTAGATTAATCAAATTGTTGAAGTAAAACTAAATTAATTAATATAATAGTAATGACACTTGTTTATCTCTATCACGCAAACTGACATATGCATGTATGAAGTTTTTTTTCTCTCTACATTTTCTAGCAGTATAATCAAAGGTTTTGCTTCAGTTCGTAGATATCTCTGGTTTTGATTATAGCTAAAAAAAACGATTTTTTTTCTCAGCCACAAGCGACATCTGGAATTGATAAGTCAACGAGAAATGATATCCTATAAGCATGCTGTGTCAATATAGCTCGGCATTTATCGTCCGTTTGCCTTGATAATGATAGTTGTCCATTTGGGAATATCAAATATCGTGTTGTCTTTTTCTTTTTTATCATCATTTGGGTTTATTATAAAATGTCAATTATTTTTAGTTTATGTATTCTTTAAATAGAAAATTCATGTCTCTTTTTTTTCTATTAAGAATATGATGTTCGTTTTCTTTCTTAAAAGTATTTTCCTGAAAATTATCTTCTTTTTTTTCAATAGTGTCATTACTGTCATCATTGAAATTACATTTTTTTTGAGAAATAAATAACCAAAAAAACTTTCTCATCATAGCTTAGATTGGATGTTCATGAACTTTTTCTGCCTCAATACATTTGATCATATCGGGTTTTTTCTCTTTTTTGTGGCTGCTAGGCTTGATAATGCTCTCGAGATATAACTACGATTTTAGTGCTTGTTTATATATATAGAGATAGATGTGTGAGTGATCAGATAGATCAGATTTTTTTTTCTTCTCTTGCTACTCTTTCCAATAGGTCTTCTTCATCTTCTTTTCTTTAGTGATTCGATGACGATGATTGTTTGTTGCGGTTTTTGTTTCACTCACTTCTTTGCTCTCTAGAAAAACATACATACATGATGGCAGCAATTCTCTAAGGACTTTGTTGTATATAATGTATTGTGGATGGTTGTCGTCATTTAATAATATGAAGTTCTTGCTGCTGTTTCAACACTAAAGTTGCTAGTACTCGTTGATGGTGATGGTGCAAATAATACAATCAACATGAAACGCTCACGCAGTTGTTATCTATTCTCGCTCGATGTTTCGCTCTTCTTCTACTTGTTCTCTCCCCCCCCCCCCCCCCTTTTTTTTTCTCAATTAGAAACAAGCAAGAGGCGGATCTGTTTAAGGACCAATGCGCATGTTTTCCTTCTCCCCTTCTATCTTTTTCATCGATGTGATGATCGAGCACTTGTTTCAACAATTCTATGCATAGAAAAGGTTTCTCTCACACATACAATCACAATGACATCACGCAAAACTGCAAGTATCTAATTCAAATGACATGTAGAGAGATGACAACGGAACGTTCTCTTCCTGCTTTACTATTACTGGAATTTGTGTAAGAAAAGAAGAAATCTTGATGCAAAGAAAGAATGGGATTACTTTTCTTTTTCGTCTATTACAACAACAACGTCTATTACTATTACTACTCATAGTCTCGTTTGTGTGCATTCAACTACAGTAAGAAGAGAGTGGTGTGTTAATCATAACAGCCTTCTAAATCTATATATATATCGATCTGTCTCTCTGTGCGTGCATGAGCAATTCATAGACAAACCACTTGAGCAAGCGAAAGAGAGAAAACGTCAGATTTTTAGTTGTTATTTATGATCATCAATATAGTTGAAGAAAATGGCATTGATAGAGAAGATATGTGTGAAATTTTTCTTTTTCTATTTAAGATTGTTGGTTTTCTTTTTTTTCTGCTTCATTCTTATATAGGATAGACAAGAAACGTCACTACTAGCTAAATTATTAGGTTGAACCATATATTAATACCTCACTTGCTACTTTTCTATTATTATTGCATCATTGACACATTTATAGATAGAAAAATGTAGTTTTTCTCGCTTTTAGTTAACATGATAGTTTATTATTATAGAAGAAAAAAACGAAAGCGCGGTATAGATTGATATATATGTTACATCATTTGGAAGATTCATTGAGTTGTCATAAATTTTCTTATATTCTGAGTAGTTTTATTAACAAAAAAAGAAAGCTTCTTCCAGTCGTTGAACACCGCCTATGAAGATGATCACTTTGCATTTAAGTTACCATTCATCAGCAAATCATTGATTTGTTTGTCTTTATATTATACATTCAGTTCAATCAAGCTAGATGTTCATTCTTCTTCTTTTTTCTTCTTCCTTCTTTTTTTTTTATCTATTTCTTTACTCTAGTTCATCGTTGTTGCTGTTGTTGTCATTTTAGATAATCGTCAGATATCTATACAGCCGTAAGCCTGAAAAGCATACACATCATTCTACAAACTAGTTTATGATGAAATCTGCAGACAACTCTCACTGATTATGACGAAAAACTTACAAAGTATGTATATCTTATTTTGTATTTACTATCCTATATTGAATGACTAATGATAAAATCACATAATATTTTGTTGTAGAGATTCATTAGACTTACTATTCTTCAAAGACCTTGATCTTAATCATCCAAGCCGTTTTCTCTTCTTTTAGTTTTTTCTTTTTTTTTCGCTGTCTCTTCCTCTGGATTGCCATTAATCGTTCTTTCCGTTCGTCAACGTTGTTGTCATCACAGAATAAGAAAAACCACA